GCGTTTGAAAGAATGAACATGTACACACATTTGTTAAACAAGGAAAAAAAAACAAGAACGTTAATAGATGAATTGCGGGAAAAACTGATGAAGAAGAAAAATTTATATCTTGAAAGTCATAGTGAACAAAATAAAAATAGATCAACAGATACGACACAAGAAGAGGAGAAAAAAATAATCGCTGAAAAATGTGTCGAGCATTTGGCGCCGAATAACAGTACAAAGTATTCTAAAGAAACGCAAGGAAATAGCGCACCCCCCGTAGCAGGCAATTTGAATGCATTAGGTATTTATAAAAGGCATAACGTAAATGAAAAAAAGACAATTAACAATGTTAATATTGATGAATTTAAGAGCAGACTTACAAACGGTGGAAACTTAATTCTAAACATTGAGGGGGGTACCTCGAAGGGATTAAAATCAATATACAGTGAAGCAAAAAATGTGAAGGGAATATCAACCTATTCTGATGAGAAAGAATATGAAAAACATGTTTATAATAGAGAAGGTGTTGGTCATGTAAAGCAGGATGTAAATATCATTAAGGGAAGAAATCAAAGTGGCTGCAAGATGAGCAGTTCTGTAAAATCCCATAAAGGATTCAAGAATAATGTGGAGAAAAATAATTACGATATAGAAATAAAATCTTTCACCATTGATGACAAGGAAAAAAGGAGCAATTTAAAATTGTTAGAACAAATAAAAAACTACAAGCTCGTGGAAGAAAACAAAGAAGGAGGAATTCGCTTTAACGGGGACTACACTCGTTCTGACAAAGAAGGAACAGAAGAGATATGCGAAAAAAATAAATCAAGAAATGTTCCTGAGGATGAAAAATTACATATAACCAGAACAGACAAAAGTAAAAAAGGTTATAAATCGGAAATAATTGCAGGGAGAGAAGAAAAAACATATTTCACCGATAGTAACTCTAAAAAGGTGGAAGTTAGGAGTGGTAAGGAAAACTCATTTAATTCGAAAGGTATCTGTAGGAAAAGCAGAAATGCAATTGGAATGAACGAGGAAAATATAGTTAAGAGACCCTTGAAAGGAGATGAAAAGGAGAAGGGAAATATAATTTATGGGAAAAGAATCAGTGATAAACACAGCATCGATAAAAGAAGCGATGATGAAAGTAGCACCATTTTAAGACACGATATATTCAACTCTTTAACGAAAAATTGCAAACCAGGATTAAAAAATGAATTGAAAGATACTAACAGAAGTTCTAAGAAGGAAAACTGCAACCGAAGTGGAGATAATTTGCCGACTTCCAAGGAACAGGAAAATGGTTCATCAAATATGTGGAGCAAGGATATGTTCATATCTACTAAGAGCAACACTAAATTGGGGAGCAACGTGAATAGTAATAAAGACGACTTAATGAAACAAACTAAAATGAAAGGATATTACGTGAAAGACAAAATACATGTGAATCAAAGTAAGGGTGAACGCACGGAACAGGAGGTGGAGTCACAAGACAAAGCACAGGCCACACGGGACAGACCCAGAGAGGCGGACAAATTAGAACATTGCAAGAGGAAAAACGGTGAGGAATGTTCACCTAATGGTATTTCTATTTTAGGAAGAGAGACAAAAAATTATGCAGAAGGCAAGAAACAAAATGAGACACACAGATGCGAATCCGAAGAAAGATTAACTACAGAACTGAAAAAAAAATTAAGTAACATTTTAAGCTCATGTACGAATCGTAACAGAATAAATATTCACAACAAAATATATGCATCGGAGATGGAAAAAATCAGAATGGATAACAACAAAATGGCATATATTAACAATAATTATTTTTTTAATGTTGACAAGGGTAACCACTTTGAGAATTGCGAAGAACAAGTAGGAAAAAATTGTTCAATGAAATATAATTTTAAAAAACTGGACTTACAATTCTGCAAAAGTAAAAACGATTTTTATAGCTTTAACTATATGAGCAATGTCTTATCATCAAGCAGCTGTAGTGTGTCCAAAGAATACATTTCTAGGGAGAGCTACGAATCTAATATTTTAGATGAAAAAATTAATAAACTAAATGAGTTAAGAAAAAAGTATTTATTAAAGAAATATTTAAATGCAGTTTTGAACAGAAGTCAAAATCATCTTGTGGATAGTAGAAGAAGCAGAAAAGTGTGCAACATGGATGTTCCCAAGTTGGCTTACAATGCGGCAGAGAATAAAATTGGTGAAAAGACTGACCCCAAGAAAGAACCACTTGGGGGAGACCTACATTTTAAACAGAGACCTAATGAAAAATTAAAAATTTGTAACAGGGATACTAAACTATGTGAAGCACCTCAATCGCCAAAAAAACAGGATAAAATACCGAAACCATTAGCTAGTCAGTTGGAAATGAATTCAGTCTCGCGCTTGGAAAAAACACAATCGTATCCATTTGAGGAGTTTAATTTGTAAACACTTTTTTTTAATTTCTTCGTCCCAGTGGTGCGTTTCAAGCTTAACTCTTTAATTAGCAGTTTAGCGATATGTTTAGCGATCTGTTTAGCGATCTGTTTAGCTAGCAGTTTAGTTAACTGTTTGACTCCTTTTCGCTCCCAGAATTTCGCAAGAAATGGACGTCTTTAAAATTTGTTAAAATTTTGTAAGTTGTCACCTTGAAACTAGAAAGGAAGAAATTGTTCCATTTGCACAACACATTTTACCTACAACGTCAAAAAAAAACTATTGTTATGAAAAGAGGTAAAATGCTTAATTTAATCTGTGACGTTTCTTCACAGTTAAATATGGGCGCCTCTGTATATTTAATCAATCCAAGTTGTAAACACATCCACGTATGCATACACCATACATAGCCCACCTCCCTTCTTTAGTACTTGTGACAATTCGCTATAGTGTGTGCGCTTTTTAATTTTAACCTTTATATTGTTTTGCATTTATTTCGATGCTGAATGGACGTATAATTATTGTGGTGCTTCTTTTTTTTGTGAAAAATTTAATTACCTCCTGCCAGGAGTGTAAGAAGCTTTACCCACGGCTCCTTTAACAATTGTTATAGAAATGGGAAAAAAAAATGCTCTCAAATTTTTACAAACTTCAATGCGTTCTTTCTTTTTTTCTTTTTTCACACGTGACGTAAGATACGTAATGGTAACTTCCGAATCAGAGACACGTTATAATTACTCCCTCCGCCCGCGCATATCGCGCGTATTTATAGGAATGACGTCGAAATGGAGATTCACAGAGAAATTTAAAAAGGGGGGAAACATACAAGTGTAAACACTTCGGAACGTGCAGAAATAGAACTAAAAATTTGGCGGCAGTTCTTTTCTTAGTACACAATTTGGAAAAGTTTCCCTTTTAGATTAACTCGTTCTAAAATGCTAAACGTGCAAAATGTGCTAACTGGAAAAAGAATTGTATTCAATGAAGCAGCTCGGAAGGGGGAAAAAAAAAGACAGGTGATTTTTTAATCAGATGGTAGTTTCCCTAGGAAGGTACCTTTTTTAATTGCCCCACACTGTATTGTTAATTACGAAAATGCGCAGTCACGTGAAAGGCACATTTCAACTTAGGCGTTCACATTTATGAATAGCATAAACGGTGTGGGGGTATACACATCTTGGTTCGCTTCGCGGCAAGCGCTTTTGTGCACGTGTCCTTGGAAAACGAAGAAGGGTAAACAGAAGAAAGGGTCCTGTCCTGATCACATGCTAAGCGCACCCGTGCCGGAAGAACCATTCGATGCCCCTCTGGTTGACTCAGCTGAAATGGGTGTACAGGTGCACGGAGGGGACCGAACTTAGCAGACAACACGAAAAGGAACCCTTTTCTTTTTTCTGCCGACCACAACCATTTTTTTAAGAAATTATTCAAAAAAAAAACTAAACGGTTTAGTCCTAAAATTTCACTCGTTCTTAAGTTTGTTATTTTTTTGCATTTTAAACATGAATTTGAAGAACGGATT